GTTTACAGTATGCAATTAATCCTTAGGTAGGGTGGACTGCAGAGTCAAGTGTCATGGAGGTAGGAAGACACAATGAGAGAGACACCCTGATACAGATGCTGCCAGTTTCTTAATAATGTGGATCTAATTAACTATTAAATCTAATTAAGGATTTACTGCTGCTACTATTTATAGTTTTAGCAATATATTCTATTTCCTTTTTTGCTGTTATTACTTGTTTGTATTCATGTGTATTCCAATGTTGAGAGCAGTCAGTGAGAAAATATTTTGCTGTAATGTTTACATCCTATACTGTGTTCATTAACTAGGATGTTGCTGGAATCAGTACAGCCAGAGACCCCTGGTTTTCCAATACCAGTGCTGTGAGGAAGGATGCTACGGTAGGCCTAGCAGAGACAGGGAGGAGTGTGGTAGAGGTAGGAAAAACCCACCTGTTCAATGGCACTCTGCACTTTAACCTGCTGGAAAATCATACGCTCACCTCATAACGCATTAGACTGATCATGGACAATTTAAACACTAGACTTTACACTGACACTTATCACTACTTGACACTTCAAAATGGTCACTTTGTTACTTGCACTGCATCTTTATACTGTGAACAAATTGTATTGTTAATTGTTTTTTCTAATTTGTATACAGGTTCTCGGTTTCTTTTTCTTTCATTATTTTTATGCTATTATTATTTATATCTTTATTAGGCAGTGGCTATTTGCACTAAGTGTAAATAGCAGCATTTTTCTGCTAGGTCCTATATGATCCCACCTGCACCTTAAATACTATAGTGGCACCAGTCCAGGTGTTTCCAGGTTTTACTCGAGTTTGGTGTTGCACCTGACTATGCATTCTTATCCTTTTCTCCGATAAACTGAAAATAACAGGAGTGTGTCCATCTCACAAATGTAGAATCCGTCTCTGCAGTCATCTCAACCATCTAATTCCAGCAACAGAAGATAGACAAACTATTTTACCCGCGGACTTTTTTCTCTGGTGCTGTTTTGCGGTGTTGGTAAATTCACCACTTGATTTTGAGTTAAAATATGTTGTTGTAACTTGCGTTACTGAGATTGTAACGAGTAATAATATTACCTAAATTTGATTAGTAATGCGTTATATTACTGCGTTACAGCAAAAAGTAATATACTACTGTAATATTATTACTTTTGTAATGCGTTACTCCCAACACTGATTGTGTATCATCCAGGTACAGTGCAACACATGGTCAAAGAACAGATGACACAGAATAACATCAGTGTAGGTTGCAAAATGTTTATTTTGCAATGCTGTATGTGTGTGCGTGAGGCGCCGGCGCGATCGAACAGCGGAAACAAACAACAAAAAAATACTCTGTTATTTTTGGTCATACAGATCATTTGAAACTGCAATGTGTTTACTTTATTTCTGTCATCTCGGTTTCCTTTCCCTGGACTTTCGTAGAGCGCCGCGCCACACAAATAGCATATGAACCAAACTCAGCAACATAGCCTATATCTCTCAGTCTTTTCCTTTCGTTTTGTTAATCTGTTAATTAGGCTATTTAAGTCAAATATTTCGCATATTCATTCATTTTATATATACACTATGATTTAATAAAAACAGATTTTATTTTTAGTTAAACTTAATTTTTGTTGCTCGTCCGCCGTCTTTTTCTCTTCTCCGACCCCGCAGCTCTCTCTCCGATAGCTTAGTGTTAGTGGCACCAGTCCAGGTGTTTCCAGGTTTTACTCGTGCTATTTCTCCATGTTGGGAGTTTGGTTTCGCACATATTGCACCATGCATTCTTATCCTTTTCTCCGATGAACTGAAAATAACAGGAGTGTGTCCGTCTCACAAATGTAGAATCCGTCTCTGCAGTCATCTGAACCATCTAATTCCAGCAACAGGAAATAGACGAACTATTTTACCCGCGGAATTTTTTCTCTGGTGCTGTTTTGCTGTGTTGGTAAATTCACCACTTAATTTTGAGTTAAAATATGTTGTTGTAACTTGCGTTACTGAGATTGTAACGAGTAATAATATTACCTAAATTTGATTAGTAATGCGTTATATTACTGCGTTACAGCAAAAAGTAATATACTACTGTAATATTATTACTTTTGTAATACGTTACTCCCAACACTGTTTATAACATCCATGCAAACTCAACAGACACACCCTAAAGCGGATGTTCTGGCATTCTGGGCAGCACTGAGAGGGGGAGGGGGGGTGGCGGCTCTGCCACTGCAGAGGACGCGCACCGTTAAACCAGGCTTTAATGTATGTTTGGCAACGCGCGCTCAGCACCGATGACCTACTATAAGGCTTACTATGGAAAATGAAGACGTAAGCTTGGCTGCCGTTGCTGTTAATCGTTCTCAAAGTTTAGAAACAGACAAACAGCTGATGAAGGTGATTAGCTGAATCTTTTACCAGAGACTGGAATTTGTTTTGGAGTCGTACCACGTGACAAGCAACAAAGCGCAAAAGACAGAAACATCGAGAGCGTTTCAAATACTTCTAAATTCTGTTCTTAGTGCACAAGACTGCACGTAAGTTTTAATACCTCCTCGATTACAGTTATTTGGTAAAACTGCAGGAATGTGAAGCGAATTAGAGTAGGCTTGTTTTTTATTCCGGAGCGTTGATTAGATAACTGTTGAAGATCACGGATATAACACATGAAGTTTATTGAAAAGCGTTACTGCAAACGAATATAGGCCTAATACATTTCTGAATGTTTTCCTCCTCCATTTTCTCCGATTCATTTTAGGCTGTTTGTTTGTGATTATGCGAAATCGAAAGTTTTTTATTTTATTTTTTATCAGATCGTTATATTTAGACAGATGATGTAGCCTACCCCATTAAATAATGAATGTGCTCTCATGTTATTTAGTTTTTTTAGTCAAAGAAGCATGTAACAAAAATCAGCTGTGACTAAGTAGAATATTTTGGTTCACATAGTAGCCTAATTCATTATATATTCTATATAACCATAATAATTCACATTTGGAAGGCTAGAAGTAGGCTATTTTACAATAATAACATAGATTGTGAACTTTAAGTAATGATCAAATGACAAAAGGACTGTAATACATCCAGGTAATTAAAGGTTTAGCAATGTGTGTGTAAATAATGTAAACTGCAATAGAGAAAGTAATAAATATGCATTGAGTCTTTACAGTATTTATTCCTTGCATTGCATTATATCTAGTGCCATGTGTTGTGTGAAGATGAAAGTCAGAATGTATTTATTTATAATAGATTAATGAAATAGATTGTGGACATGAATGTAATTCAACAAATGAATGAAAAGAGTAAATATGTTGTAAATTATAAGAAAACTGCAATACTGAAAATATGTTTTGAACACAGTGCTGTCATGTTTGTTCCCAGCTGTATTCATATTTTTATGTTGTGAGGAGATGGAGGCATGTTTGTTAATCTGTTGAAATCACAATATATGTTCTATTAAGGTTGTTGCCTTTAAAAAAGAAATAGCCTGTTTGTTGCTAACTCAACATTCTCAATTTTTCATCATCAACTATCATGTTATTCATCTCAGTAAGATATCATCATCTCCAGGTCATACTGAGAAGCTGATTGTCTTCACTGACACCAGTGCTGATGTTAGCATTGCCAGTTCAGCTGCAGTATGTCAGAGAAGCGAGAAAAGGACTCTCCGTCTGAGATGAGTGTCTCAGAGAAACAGAGGTAAGACTGAGTCTGTTTTCAGAGAATCATATTAAACACTACTGAAGTTGAATTAATTAATAGATTTTTTGTAACAACCTTTTTAACAGTAACGATTTTCTCACTTATTGTCTGCTGCGCTAAAGTTTAATTTAGAACTTCCTATAATTTTTTGTTTGTTTGTTTTTAGATCATTGCAGGTTAAAAAATTGTCTAATATTTAATTTAGAGGAACATTTATCACAAACATAAATATGTGTATTACGTGGCTCTCTAAAATATTAGATTCTGATTGGTCAGTCGCCACATTCCTAAGTCTGATATTTTCTTATAAAGCTATTTGCATCATCAATAGCAACAGAGTATAACGGACCGATCCGGGTATTTCAAGCCAACACTTCTTTCATGTCTCTCGTATTGTATTTCAAGCTGACGCTTTTTTGTGTCTCTCGTATTACAGCAAGGACTCGCTCTCTCATTTCACATCTTGTCTCTTGTGACATCTTGCATCTCAGTTGTATTGTAAATGAACCAACCAGCTGGATGTCCATCAGTGTACACATTTAGTGCATAGTAAACTTAAATAATGCGGAATTGTATTACTTAGAACATAGAAATATGCCTGGCAAACAGGGCTTGACAATGGCACATGTAAAGTTCCATCATGTCTGTAAATGTTTTGGGACTATAAATAAATCATTTTAACAACACACTTGACAGAATGACAAAAAATGACAGTTGGAAAACAATCTCAACCTCAGACGTCACGCCCACGGACTGTTGGCTGAATGTCTGATGGATATGTTTTATGGTGAAATGGATATTGTGCAGGGTGAGGAACCAGTGCTTCACTTGACTGTTTACCAGTTTAGATTCCATTGTAGCTGACCTGATCTGTTTTTGGGATCGTTCAAAAGATGATCCACCGAAATTCAGTGAGGAACCACCATCATCTACCCAAAGGTATTTTACATTAGAGCATTGCATTAGCTAATTTCTTCACTGTGGTGAATGTGATAGAACTTTACTGAATAAATTCAATTCAATTTACTTTATTGTTAGTGTACATAGTACAACGAAATTATGTCTGGTGAGTCAAAAAAACAAAACAACAACAACAATGAATAGCTACCAACAATACATAACAAACAGCAACAGTTGCAACAAAAAGTGCAAATTATGTCATTAGCTGGAGGGTGTAAGTGCAGGGGGTGTAATGGAAGTCACAGCTCTTGGAAATAATCTGTTTCTCAGTCTGATCTGTTTGTGTGTGTTTTCATGGTCCTGTACCTCTGCCCTGAGGGCAGGGGGTCAAAAAGTCTATGACCCGGGTGGGTGGAATCTCCAGCAATGTTTCTGGCCTGTATACCTTCCTTCAGATCCCTCCGGTCTCTTCTGTACGCCAGCAGGTCACCTGACCTATAGGCAACATCCCGGGCTTTAAGCAAAGACCGCACCGTACGGTCCAGCCACGGTTTCTGGTTAGGAAACACTCTGATGGATTTAGTGGGCAAGACAGAGTTCGTGCAGAAATGCAAATAGGTCAAGACAGACTAGGTGTATTCCTCTATATCCGCATTCTCTTTAAACACTCCCCAGTAAGTTGGTCTTGATCGGCAGATAAGAGGTCTGTATGCCGGTGTCATTTCCAGCGAGATGTGTTCTGACATGCCAAAATGTGGAGATGCTGCAGCTTTATATGCCCCTGGGATGTTAGTATAGACCTGATCCAGAATATTATTGTCCCTGGTCGGGAAATTGATGCACTTGAAAAACTTGTGAAATACTGCTTTCAGTTCTACATGATTGAAGTCTCCTGCTACAATCACAACTCACTCCGGATGTGCACTTAGCATTAATAGTGCTGTGAAACTTCTCCAGTGCTGGCCTGAAATTAGTCAGTGGTGGTATGTAAACAGCTGTAATCAGAAAGGCATTTCACCGCTAGATATTCCGGATTCCAAAACAAAAGATCGCAGAAATGGTGTCTGTTAACCTTTACTGAACTCAGTCTGGAGCTACATAGGTAGACACTAAATACACATTAGATAAATACTAGATAAAACTTCACAATTGAAAAACTCCAGGCAACCAAACATAAATACATTCATATATAGTTATGAGAAGGACAAAATCACGGCTATACTGGATTTAATCACATGCAATCTTTTCTGTCTCCTGTCATTTTTTTCTTTCTCTCTCTGTTCTTTGTGTCATTAGTGTAAGATCAGGCTCAGATGTGTCCAGCTCTGTGTCTGTGAAGAGTGACCGTTCAATATTTCAACCACCGAAATTCAGTGAGGCAACATCTACTAAATAAGTGGATAACTGAATTAATGAACACGGCATGAATTTCTGCAGGAACAAATGTGTTGCTTGTGTTCAAGCATAAATATATAAACAACATAAACAGCACTTCTCAGTGCTGTGCACTCATAAAATGCGATACAATTAAAATTACATTTTTTTTATTATTGAACTATTATTCAATTGCTATCACTGAAATATACAAGAAGTGCAGTCTTACTATAAGAAGTAACACATTACATAGAACAAGTGGCAGATCTATTAGTTTGCATTTACATTCCAAGATGCACAGATCTATACAATATCAGGTTTTTGTCCTGTCCATTGCTGTGATTATCACTGTCAATCATTGCAGTTTTGGATTCAATCCCATATTTAAATAAGTTTGTCAATTCAGAAACCTTGAAATGTGCAGTTAGCAGCATGACAGACATTTATATTATATACAAAAGCAAGCAAAGAGCGCTCCCATTATAATCAATGAAGCTCAGCGCTGCAACTTTACTGACGGAGTGAAAACTCCCATTATAATCAATGAAGCCGACAACGCTGCACAGTGAATCTCTTAATCTGATTATTTATTTATTTATTTTTTGTAATGAAAGGATTTGTGAACGTGCTAAACTCTATGAACTTAAAAAAAAAAAAAACATTTTCAGCAGTGTTTTTGGTCTGCATCTCTGTGTAAAATTTACCAAAATAATAAATAAATAAATTTAATAATTTTAATGATTTCCACTGTAGTAAAATTATAATACTTCATTATTAATTTCATTACTTCTAAGTGTCAAACCCATATGCTTTTTTTTTTTTTTTGGAAAACTACTGGGAGACCTGGAAATTTCAAAAACTGACTCCCTACATGATTAATAATTGTTTTGATAATAACTGAAGCTTATGAGGCAATGACATGTGTTTTGATGACAACATGAACTCTTCATCAGTAATGCGATGTTGTAAGCCTCTCTGATTGTGTTTCCTCCACAGCGATGTGAAAGACTCATTGCCAGTTATCGCAAATGCTTGATTGCGGTTGTTGCTGCAAAGGGTGGCACAACCAGTTATTAGATTTAGGGGGCAATTACTTTTTCACGTAGTGCCAGGCAGGTTTGGACAGCTTTTTTCCCTTAATGAAATAATTATTTCAAAACTCCATTTTGTGTTTACTCGGTTTTATCTTTGTGTAATATTAAAAGTTGTTTGATGATCTGAATCTTTTAAGTGTGACAAATAAACAACAAAAAAACAAGAAGGGGCAAAAACCTTTGCACGGCACTGTATACACACACACTTCGTTTGAATATCAAATGAGGCTATGAGAGAATAGAAGTCTGCTGCGTAAGACTTCTCTAGATGAATGTTGCTGAAGGCAACCGGGGAATGAGGACAGCAGCCCATCCAGCTCCTCTATGAAGGTGCCCAATTGACCTGGGGGTGGGGGGATAAATTACTACAATGTGGAGTTTTACAGGAGTTGTTACAGTATCAGCATTTCATTCCAAAGAACTATTACTGCATAAGAGTAAGTTGAATATTCCCTGTTATTAGAAATGAAAAGACCAGTACCCCCACCGCTCCCAACCTAATGGGGGGTGTGAGAGAAGAAGTTATTAGAGAGAGCAACAGTGGTTGCTGTGTCCACTTGACAAATCCAGGGCTCAGTCAAGCCCAAGATACTAAAAGCTGACTTGGCAGCAAAGGCCAGAATGAAATCAGCACAGAGGTGCAGATAGGACGCAGGTTTGCAGGTTTGGATTGCCTTCTGCATGTGATGTTAAGAGCATTGTTGAGAGACAACAATAATGTACTTGAAGCACTTGTTAAATGTGGGAAAAGTGAGGGTGGAAAGAAAGTGGACTGAAATCGAATACAGGTTGAATGCACAAATTTATTTCAACCTGGAAAAGACAAGAAGATCAAAACTGTGCTGACAAAAGGAGTTGCTGGCATCGGAAAATCAGTCTCTGTGCAAAAGTTTGTTGTGGATTGGGCTGAAGAAAAAGAAAATCAGGATATCAGCTTTGTATTTCCTCTTCCTTTCCGGGAGATGAACTTAAAGGAGGAAGAAAACCAAAGCTTGATGAGCCTTGTAAGTCAGTTTTTCCCTGAGACAAAGGGACTGAACCTTACAAGAAGGAATCAGTTCAAAGTCCTGTTCATCCTTGATGGTTTGGATGAATGCCGTCTTCCTCTAAACTTTGAGGGTAATGAGACATGGCGTGACGTCTCGTCACCAGCCTCTCTGGATGTTCTCCTCACAAACCTCATCAAGGGAAATCTGCTTCCTTCTGCTCTCATCTGGATCACCACCAGACCAGCAGCTGCCAGTAAGATTCCTCCTGACTGTATCGACCGGGTAACAGAGGTCAGAGGGTTCAATGATGCACAAAAGGAGGAGTACTTCAGAAAAAGATTCACTGATCAGAATCTGGCCAGTGAAATCATTGATCACGTAAAAAAATCTAAGAGTCTGTTTATCATGTGCCACATCCCAGTCTTCTGCTGGATTTCAGCCACTGTTCTCCAGAATATTTTGGAGGAGAAAAGAAATAATGATCTGAAAAACAATCAGGCTGATGACGCCTCCAAAACACTGCAGATATCAAATACTGAAGATATTCCTAAGACTCTGACACAAATGTACACACACTTTCTCAGAAACAATCAGGCTGATGACGCCTCCAAAATACTGCAGGAATCAAATACTGAAGACATTCCTAAGACTCTGACACAAATGTACACACACTTTCTCCGCTTTCAGATCCAGCAGAGCAGACGAAAGTATGATGGAGAATACACACCAGATGTTTCCTGGGATAAAGATGCTATCCTTTCACTGGGGAAACTGGCATTTCATCAGCTGGAAAGAAATAACTTGATCTTCTATGACACAGATCTGGAAACCTGTGGTATTGACATTTATAAGGCATCAGTGTATTCAGGCATGTGTACCCAGATCTTTAAGGAGGAAACAGGGATTATTCTTGGTACCATGTACTGCTTTGTTCACTTGAGCATTCAAGAGTTTATTGCAGCCCTTTATGCACATCTGTTTCTAGACATCAACAAGAAAAGTGTGTTTTTTCAAGACTCTACAGTACAGGAAAACAAAAATGAAGCCATGATTGATTTGCTCAAGACTGCAGTGGACAAGGCACTAGAGAGTGATAATGGACACCTGGATCTTTTTCTTCGATTCCTCCTTGGTTTGTCACTCCAGTCCAATCAGAGACTCTTACAGGGTCTGTTGACGCAGCAAAATAGAAATGAGCAGAGCACAAAGGAAATAGTTCAGTACATCAAGCACATCAAGCTGGATAATTTGTCTCCAGAGAGATCCATCAATCTGTTCTACTGTCTGAATGAACTGAACGACCTGAACGACCAGAAAGAGATTCAGACTCACCTTAACAAAGGAAGTCTTTCATCTTCTGATCTTTCACCTGCCCAGTGGTCTGCTTTGGTCTTTGTGTTGTTGACATCAGAGGAGGAGCTGGAGGAGTTTGAGCTTCAGAAATTCAAGAAATCAGACGAGTGTCTCATTAGATTATCAGCAGTCATCAAAACCTCCAAAAGAGCTCTGTAAGTTATTTCATATATTTTGTCATGTTTTGTTCTCATCTTAAAATTGCATTTATCTACATTGATGCATAGCAGGTTTGGACACCCCTGATCTATAGTGATTATTAACCATATACCAATTATAATTAAATCATAACACATTTTGTTGAACTTTTTTAATTTGTAATTTTTTTTTGCGTTAAAAATGCCAGTCCTTTGGAATTAAAGTGCAATGGTATTTTATTAGATTTACATGGGTTTTATGTAGAAATTTCTCTTTTCAGCAAAACAAGCTGTTTAGTTAGCTGCAGAAGAAGCACGTCATGTTATTATAAAACACATTGTTCCATAGTTATTTCTACTCCAATATGCAGTTCAACTTCTTAAACTTCTGCTATAAAGGAGATATACTCTTGCATAACCTCAATGCATAAATTATTAACCTCCAGATTCTCCACCTCAAGACACTCATCAAGATAATAGAGCAGCACTTTTAAATGTATAACTCATTGCCATTAATGCTATTATTCATTTACATATTTTATTAAGTTTTATTCAAGCATGCTAGTTTGTTTTATCTAGGAAACTTGAATCAATAAATATCTAATATATATGCAGTATATTTACTGTTCATGTAAAAATAATTGGTATAATTATTATTATTA